CACTATGTTTGGCAGCCAACCAAAAGTCTTTTTAAACTCACTTTCTAAAGCATTATTTGGAGAGTCACTCGAATAAAAATTGCTCATCTCTTCTATATCTCGTGCGCACTCTAGAGAGCTAACTCCGCTCTCATCTTTCTAACGAAAAATCTGGAATAGATGATGGTAATATTTGAAGATCTAATTAAACAAGCTATCCGAATATATATATTTTTTTACCAAAATCTATATTCCTATCAATAAGTATATAAAAAGGCTCCTGGAGTTGCTCTAAGCTGTTGCTATATGTTCGGCCCAATTAGCCTATGAAGAGTCTTATTTGATTGGTTTAGATGTATCGTTGGACTTTTTGTACCAAATTAAAATGGAGTAGACGGATGGGCTTCTCTTGTTGGTTCATGCTGGTCTATTATTTTCATTGAATTATGTTTTTTTCCTTTACTTTTCCTCCTTTATGTGAGATTTTTTCTTTTACTTACCTTCTATTTGTTACATTTTATTTTGTTTTATTTATTATTTATTTCTTTAACATATTTTCATGGTTTATTTTTATTGTTCCAATAGTGTTCTATATATGGTGTACTTTTATTGTTTTGATAGTACTCATGAGATGTTTTACGGTGTGTTTTGGATTGTTCATTGTTATGCATAATATGTTCCATGGTGTATTTTAGATTGTTTCAATAGTATTCCTAAGATGTCCCATAGTTTTTTTTGTAGCTCCCATATTACATAAGATGTTCCATGCTGTACATCTCATCAGTTTTGTTGTATTGATGAAACCATGGTGTACAATGGTATATTTTAATTGGTTTCATATATTTGGGAGATGTCCTACGGTGTGTCCTTTATATTTTTTTTAACTTTGTTTTCCATTTAGTTATTGTTATGTATTCACTGTCATTTTGTTTTTTTTATCTAATTTCATATCATTTTTATTGTATCCATGATCTTATGGTAAGATTCACTCAAACTATTTCTTCTTTAATATGAAAAATTCATTTTATAATTCTTATGAGGTGTACAATGGTATATTTTAATTGGTTTCATATATTTGGGAGATGTCCTACGGTGTGTCCTTTATATTTTGTTTTTTTAACTTTGTTTTCCATTTAGTTATTGTTATGTATTCACTGTCATTTTGTTTTTTTTATCTAATTTCATATCATTTTTATTGTATCCATGATCTTATGGTAAGATTCACTCAAACTATTTCTTCTTTAATATGAAAAATCCATTTTATAATTTTTATGAGGTGTATTATAGATTATTATCATAGGATTCATGAGACATTACATGATGCATTCTGAATTATTCTCATAGTATTTTTGTGATGTTTCATCATGTATTTTGAATCCTCCACGGCCGAAAGTATTTATGTTACATACACATTGTAATACACAATGTTCCTATAGTATAGGCATGATATGTTTCATGGTGTATTTAAGTTGTTTACGTAGTATTCATGAGATGTTCAATGGTGTATTTCGGATTGCACAGTGGAATTGGACTCATCAGCTGACCTGCCCTCTCTGTCTCATGCTCCGTGAGGCATAGACGATAGCAGCACACCACTTCGTACATTGGAGGTTCTCCTACTGAATTCGGGGAGCTACGACCTACAAGGGGTAAGATAGGAACATTGCTTTAAGAAGATCTTTTTACGCAGATCGAGAAAACCTCTCATCCCCTACTCCACCCATATACAGTGGTACTGTAGTTCATATGAGAATGATCATGATTGGAGCCGAGGATTAGACCTGTGCTTTGTCGTAGAATAAATGAGGTGATTTTGTTAACCTCAATCTAAAATTTACTATCACGGAAAGTCCAACCTAAGACCAGAGAAGTGCTATTAGAACCGTCTAACCAACTAAGCTAGAGGTCTGCTCATGATCCTGCTGACCTGCCACCACGAGGAGGGTAGAATCACTTCATGAGTGTGTCTGAGTGGTGAAGCAACAGCCACGATGACCAGAAAAGGATATGTGCTCTTTGTTGATCCTTGTTTGTTGAGAGATTTGGAAGGAATAGAACACACTAATTTTTCAACAATGTCATTCCTCGATGGCATTTTTAGCCCTGTTTAGTTCCCCACTTTTGCCAAAAAATTTTTGTTGTTTTATCCCATCTTTTGGCAAAATGCATCTAAACACACAAAAAACAGCAAAATATGGGCTGCAAAACTTTTGCTATTTGGGACCCAAGAGTCCCAAAACTGGGCAAAAACGTCTAGGGCGGCGAGCTGGACGCCCTATGCCCCCATACACGCGCCCGTTTCTCTCCCCCCACACACCCATTTCTCTCTCCCCCGCAGCCCCGTCTCCTCCCCACGCCTGTCTCTCCCAACGCGCGGCGGCGCCCCTCCCACGCCGGTCCTGGTAGATCCCAACGGCTTCGCCCTCCCCTCCCATCCCTCCGGTGATGGCGGTGGCAAGGGGACCTACATCCAGCGGCGCCGTGGCCTCACCCTAATGGCGCCGCGACCTCTACCCAGAGCTTGTGGCGAGCCCTGCTCACCGGCGGAGTGACTCTGCCGCACCGGAGGAGCGACGTGGTCCGCCTCGCTCAGATGGTGGCCCCAGCCGCAGAGCGACTCTGGGTGGGGCGCGGCGCCGGAGCTGGGCGGGGCGCTAGCCGCGACGACAAGCTCAAGCTCGGCCTTCCCATGGCGACGGAGGACGCGGTGGCAGGCCGCGTGCGAGGCAATGGGGCAGGGCGGCGGGGCAGGCCACTGGGGCAGGGAAGCCGCTGGCTGCTGGGGAGGGGCAGGGCATGCCGATGAGGCCGCTGCTTTCCCTTCACGCGCGGCCGATGTGCACAAGCTCGGCGTACGGACGAGCAGAGGAAGAAGATAACAAGGGCAAATCAATCTTTGTTTGGTATAGTGATAAAGTTTTGCCATGCATCTAAACACCAAGATGTAAAGTTTGAATGCCTAAAAATTTACAACAAAAGATTAGTCCCAACAGGTTTGCCATTTCAAAATTATCTAAACACCCCCTTAGTTGCTATAAGATCAAAGAGGAGGCTCGTGCTTGGGGTACCGCCGGCCCTAAGTGCTTGAGGGAAATATAGGTCCTGTTTGTTTCAGCTTTTCTGAGTCTCACTTATAAGCTGAGCAGGCTTATCTGATAAGCCATGATCTGGAGAATCTGTTGTCTGAATAAGCTGGGCATTTAGCTATCCTGATTATTTCTGGTAGATTATCTGTCCTGGATGTAAATTGACCTATGTACCCCTGAGGCTGATGATACTTCGTTTGGTTCGTCACAATGATCTGAAGGCAATGGTGGGAATATTTCTAAAGTTTGAGATAACAATATGGTTCCATTAAGATGCAATGTACAATAATAGTCCAAAATAACATCAATTTGGGTACAAATATCACTACAAAATACTCTTCTTCGCCTCATTGCCGGGCGCCAAGGCTTCCCATGAGCGAGCGACGAGCATTGCCGCTGTCAGACCGCTTTCTCCGCCGGCCGTTGCCGTCGTCTTGGAGCCAAAGGCCAAGTTGTTGAAGCGCCCGCCGTCGCCGTGCTCTGCTCATTCCCTTCCACCTCCGGCCACCTCTCGCAAATCTCTCTCCCTCGCCTCGCTCTCTCCCTTCATCGTGCTCTGCTCCTCCTCTACTCACTCGCTTCGCCTTGCCACAGCCACCTGGCCTCGCCTCACACCACCGGCGTTCCCCTCCACCTCACCAAGGCCCTTCCTTTCCCCTCCGACGGATCTAGCCAGTGGAAGGCGATGGCCGGTCCGGAGGGGGGCCCTGCGCTGCCTGCCGTTGAGGGGAGGGGAGCGGGGAGGGACCGCTGGCTGCCGGTCCGGAGGGAGCCCAGCGCAGGCTGTCGGTCCGGACGGAGGGGACGAGGGAGGCGACAACGGGGAGGAGAGCCGGCACCGGATCTGGCCAGAGGGGATGAAGGAGGGAGGCGGGGAGGGAAGCCGGCATCGTGAGCGCGCACGGGTCGGGTGGGAGGGGCAGGGAGAGGAAAAGCGCTCACGATTTCCAAATCGCAGCCCTTCGAGCGCTTTTCCAATCACCGTTGCGGGAAGGTAAGCGAACGCGGACGCCGCGTTTGCGATGGATGCCGTTTTGAGCCGTTTGGCGGGCGTATCCGGCTTCTCCCATCGCGAACGCGCGTATGAGCGCAAACAAACAGGGCCATACTTCCGATTATATAGTGTTTTCCTGTCTTTTATCCCAATCTTTTGCACCATATCAGTTTTTGTGGCCTAGGCCAAACCTTCCCCTATTTTAATAATTAATTATAAACGGCAGGTCCTGTCCATTACGTGTGGGAGGAAGGAACCACAACCAAGCAACCTTCTGTGACCACATTTGTTCAATAAAAAAATACCAGTTGGGTGGGTGCTACCAACATTCTGCGTACGCGAGCTGCAGCTGAAGGAGTCTGGTGATCGGAATTGCTTACCAGTTTGGCACTGATTCGGTTTCCGGTCTGGCTTCAACAACAGTTTTTGCGACGAGTCAGAGAGGCCGTACCAAATGTTTTAGGAGAAAATATTTTCTGGTGAACAATAGAAGAGGCATAGTCGTTTTTTTATGAAGAGTCAAAACCGCAAAATGCGGCTTCTCCTCGTGTGCTCCGACTTATTCGAATGAGCACCTAAGAAAAAGCTCCGCCAAACGGACCTTAATTACACTTTTTTAAATGGTGTAGGGACGTGGAAGCTGCTCGAAGTTAAGCCTAATCATGTGCCGTCAGTTACCAAAACTATTCGAAAAAAATTGCACACCAAAAACTATGAGTATCCTTTCTTATATGGGATTATTGTGCAAATGTTCTTTGCAAGTACACTTTAGATATGCTGAGAAAAACAAATGAAGCCTCGACAGTGAAGAATGCAATCCTTTGAACCGAACTTTTGTTATTGATGAATGTCATTATTGTCGACCAGGACAGGGGACCAGTTAAATTATACAGCATCACAGCATGCCGGCGCAGCAATTTATCATGACGATCCTCTCGAATTCAACGAAGATTCCGAATCTCGTGCACTAACCCGACCAAATCAGCGTACGAGCTCCCGCCTTCGTTCACCGCCCGCGCGGCCTCCGCCGCGAGCTCCTTGGCGCGCGCCCTCACGTCGCGCCCCTTCTCCCCGACCGCGTCGGCCAGCACGGTCGCCAGCTCGCCCGAGTCCGGCGCGACGCCGAAGCCCCCCGCGCACGCGCGCACCGCAACGCGCGCCTCGTCCACGAGCAGGCGCGCGTTCACGAACTGGTCCGCCGTCATCGGCCACGCCAGCATGGGCACCCCCGCCGCGGCGGCCTCCAGCACCGAGTTCCAGCCGCAGTGCGTCATGAACCACCCCACCGCCGGGTGCCGCAGCGTCGCCAGCTGCGGCGCCCACCCGCGCACCACTATCCCGCGGCCCGCCTCTGCCGCGCGCGCCTCGAACGCTTCGGGGACGACGCCGCTGCTCCCGGCGCCCACGACCCAGACGAACGGCACGGCGCTGCGCTCCAGCGCCTCGGCTAGCGCCGCTGCTACGGCCGGGGTCAGCACCGCCTGGCTCCCGAACGACACGTACACGACCGAGCCTTCCGGGAACGGGTCCAGCCATGCGCCGAGGCTGGCGGCCGCGACGGCCGCCTCCCCGCCGCGCGAGCCGGCGGCGTCCGCCTCAGGCGCCACGGGGCCCACCGCCCAGACGAGCCTGAAGCCCAGGTCCTCGAGTGGCTGCTCCAGGTACCTCCCCTCCAGCGCCTTGAACGAGTTGAACACGAACCCCCAGCTCTCCTCCACGTTCCAGAGGAAGTTCCGCCTCACCGACTCGCGGACCTGCTCGTCTTCTTCCCCGCCTTCCACGTACCACCTGTAAAGCATCGAGAGCTCTCTCCACCGGTACGCCGGCTCACCGGGGATCGCCGGGAACGTGACGACGCTGGACTCCTCGCCGCCGCCCTCGGCAGCAGCAGGCCGCCTCACCAAGCGGCGGAAGAGCGAGTGAGGGACGGCGGCGCCGATGACGCCGGACGGCGAGAACACGATGCCCGCGGCGCCGAGCTCGCGCGCGAGCGGCTGCGCCCACCCGCAGAAGAAGTCGGCGACAACGGCGACGATGGGGTCGTCGTCGGACGACGGGCGTGACCTGGCCCACGCGCGGACCGGCTCGCGGAGCGCGGTGAGCGCGTGGATGAAGACGGGGAAGTACTCCGGGGGGCAGCCCCTGACGCTCTCGAGACCCGGGGGGATAGACGAGTTGGAAGGGAACGGGAGGGTCAGCGGGCTGACGGCGCCGGGGTGCGCCGCGAGGAGAGGCGAGAGCAGCGGGAGGTTGGCGGGTGAGGTGACGACGGTGAGGCGGAGGCCCCGCGCGGCGAGCAGGGCGGCGAAGTCCAGGAGCGGCAGCGTGTGGCCCTGCGCCGGGAAGGGGACCACCAGCACGTGCGGCGCCGTGGTAGGTGTGGCTGCCGTCTCCATGGCTTGATGCTTGGGAGGTTCAAACGGAGGCCGAGACCGATGGCGCGCTTGGTCGCTGCCAACTGGTGACTGGCGAGCGTGCGGGTTCCTTCTTTTTAAGGAAAAAAATTGAAGGGTCGGTGGTCACGGCGGGTCCACTTTGAATGGTAGTTTTTTGTTTTTTTGTGAGAGGACTTTGAATGGTAGTTGGATCACGCGATTAGATTTGCCCGGGCCGCTCGGAAGATGGGCCGAAGATATGATCCGTGACGCATAGGGCCCATTCGAAACGAGTCGTCCTGGTGCTGCTCATCATCTCCTCCGCTCGGTGTCGCGGACTGTCCCGTGTCCTCCGCTCGTCGCCCTGCTCTGCGGGCTGCGGCTGCTCCGCGCTCGTCCCCTCGGACGGCATGGAGCTGAGCAGAGGCATTGTATCTGCCCCGCTCCGGCCGGTTTACTCCCGCCACGGCCGCTGCGGTCCTCTCTCCGGAGCGTTCTCACCGCCGCAGTCGTCTTCTACCGTGGTGAGTGTTCTCGTGCCCTTCGCTTGGTCCTCTTGCCTTCGAGGGGGTGATGGATTCAGCAATTGTGCCCTTCTCCATCTTCTGTAGGAAGTGCGCAGGTGCTGCATCAGCAGGGCGCTGCAGCCACGGCAGGAGTGGGTGGAGGGCTGGGTCCGCCGCAACGACACACTCGTTCGCGGCCTGCCCATTCTCGTCGGCGGCGCTTCCCTCGTCGCTGTCCTCCTCAACCGCGCTGTTTCAGGAATTGCCGCCGTCGCCGACGCCTCCAGGTATGCCTGTGCATGCAAACACCCATAATTGCTGCAATTTTGGTGTACTGATCATTAGTTCTATTTCCCCTATAAACAGTTCGCAGTCGAGGGCTGACATATTGACCCTTGCTCTCTCCGTGACTGACATTCTTGCCGGCCTCGTTTGGTTATCCATCCGTCCGAAATCCATTTCTCCGGTCAGAATTGAGATTTTGAACCGCACATTTCTTGTATTCCGAATCGCATGTTCTGATGTCTTTGGCTGATTTCACAATTCTAAATATGATCCTAGGTGGTTCCTGAAGGTGTCGAGTGTAAACGAGTTCTTCCGGGCGTGTCAAGTTCTACGCTTCATGAACTACTTTGGTAAGTAATCTACCGATGCACAGATTTCTTCTGATTTTACCATTCGAACACTGCATGCTTCAGAGTGATCCTGAATCATGATCCGAAAATTTTCACCTGATGCGCCACTGCTAGATGATAGCCAAACTGACTGCCAGTTAAGTTTGAACTCTGAATACTTTCAATGCTGCATACATCTTTTTAGTGAATGCTAGCTTTTGGGTAGTAAAATCTCACCTGATGTACGGCTACAGGTGATAGCTCCATTTGGTAACAATAGTCCACTGCCGTTCGAAGTAGGATTCTGAATAAATGCATACATCTTTCTAGATGAAGCAATGTTTTAGGGTATCTTTACATATGAAACCTGCACCCAAAAGCTGGCCGGTGAGCGTGGCCACGTCGCCAGCCGTTCCCGGCCGTCGGATCGGGCGCGTGAATGGCCCAGAGCGTGCGAGGCGTGGTTTTTTTGCAAAAAAGCCCTCGAACTTTACCGAAATCAACCCGCAATCCAGGCCTTCTGAATGGGCCGGCCTGCCTCCCGCTCGGGCCTGTTTCCCGCCGAACCTGGACCTTACTGGGCCGAATTCGGCCCGACGACGTTTTTCTATTTTCCTGCGAATTTGTTATTTATCTAAAACGATTGAAATTTTGTAAATAACATAATAAAACAAATAAAAATTTAAAAAATGCCAAACCAAGTTTTTTGAACTCTACACAACTAGCACTGCACTGTAAACACATAACATCACATGTTTTAGTGTAATTTTTTGCTATTAATGTGGATCTAGATTTCTCAAGAGTTTTCTAAAAAAAATTAATAGAGTTAGTTTCTTTATTCAAATTGCTATGAAATTTTTATGCTACCTTACCCATAACACACATAAAATAAAACAATTGAGTGATTCTACCGGCTTCACGATCCTATATATACAATTCTTAATTTCACAATGATGGGTGTGTCGTGCATAGTTCTTAATTGAAAAAAAAAGAGACTCCAGCTATTATCCTCTGCAATGGCAACGATCAACATCAACTCCACTGATCTGTATAATTATATTGTACTACTGCTATTTATTCTCCACAGAAGCTAAGTAATACTAATTGCAATATAATTATTAGCTTCATGATGCAAGCACCACACAGCTTTCTAGTTTACTCTGAAAATCTCACCTAATGGGCCACTAGCAGCTGACAGTGACAGGTCGTTCAAGTAATAGCCAACTGCGATTTGAGTTTGGACTCTGAATAATTGCGTGCACCTTTTAGTGAAAGTGCTGCTTTAGGGTGGTTGGTGATCGTGTGGTACTCTTCCTAATAAAACAGCCTGTCAATTATAATGCTGTACTAATTGAATATATCTGAGTTTACTAAACCTGTGGTGGTAACCATTAACTAGCTTATCATGCCCTGACTTGTATGAATCCACGACTTCATATATGCAGTTTTACAAAGGTTTTATGTTGTGAAGCTAGCTATTCCTTATTTTTCTTACAAATAGGACATGGGATTCCCTCACTACTGCAACTTGTTGCAAATCACTGGTTATTGTGTATGGAGGTAATTGTGTTCTTCAAATCGGGGTTGCTGCGGGATCTCCAGAAGATGGTAATGCACTTAATGTGGATGCACAAAAGTTCATCCAAGGCTCTCTTTACAAAAGTGCCATGGAATCCAAGAAGCGTGAGTATATCTTCTTCCTTGGAAGTTTTTTCCATTTGTTTTCAGAAACTTCACCATAGTCTTCTTGCAGAATCTTATCTGGCAAATCTTGCTTTATATCCTGGGAGGTCTGAATTGCCGTTCTTGCCTGCTAACACACAGGTGCTGATACTTGTTCTATGTCTCGATAGCTGATTTTTTATTATTTTTTTCGCGGCCGTGCCAAGACACGTATTTCATTAAGAGGAAGTAGAGAATGTTACAACAACAGGCCACAATCACGGTAATCGCCTGATTACCGAGATTTTGCCTCGCACCCAGAAACAACTATGAATTACATGGTTAAAAACTTACGACCAAAGGACTATCCTGGATGCTGCTATAGCCTAGCACGCCACAGGCAGAAGCTCGTCGACCTCCCAAGCAAAGTCATCAAGGAAGGCGTCATCCTGGAAGAGAACCTTGAAGGCCTCGTGCTTAGACTCGGACAGTGGATCGGCGAACATGGACTCGTACTTCTGGAAAGCCGTGGTGTCAACATCTTGCGCTGTGTTCGCAAGTCCCAACTTGGCCATCAGCACATTTTGATCCTGCAGGGTTGGGTTGGCAGCCGTAGACTTAGCTGCCAAGCGACGACTCCGCCTAGGAGAACCAGCGCTCGGCATGGCCCGAGGAACCCTGAGCGTTGACCTTGCTCGGATCAATGGGGTTTGAAGAGGCAAACAGACACGGTCCTTCAGAGAGCGAGGGATGTCCGCGACGGCTACGGAGACATCAGCCACACCTTTCCCTGCGGATCGGTGGAGGCCACCGATCCCGGGCCGTTGCCCGGCAAAACCACATCAGCCACAGTACTCTGCGAGTCATCAGCAGCTTTGCCTGCACATCTTCTTGGCGGGATGCTGAAGACTCCGAGCTGCAGCGGTAATCGCGCTGCGATTTCAGCTTCATCCAGCATCGGGTCCACAGACAAAGGCACAAGCACAATCTATTTACTTGTGAATCAAAATGTAATAGAAGTCTTATTTTCATGTCCAGATAAGCAATTAAACATGATCCAATAGTCAGATGGAAGGATTATCTGAAATATTTGAACCAAAGCATTATAGCATAGTTTATATTCTGTAGGCACTGATATTACAGCCAATTGGTGATAAAGGGGTTGCGATTGTTGGTGGCGACACTATAAGAGGTTTCACTAATATTGATCAGGTATTACCATTTACATTGGTTATGGTCTCTGCATATAAGATTTTTGTTTTAATACTCCAGTTCATGTTTTTTTTCCTAAAATACACTAGCAAATGAATGTGCTGCTTTGTAGCCAAAATTAGGAACTGTGCTACACTGCTACTGCTACCCATAGATTGTGCACTTTGAAGAACTTCAGTTTGCCATTGCAGAGTGACTTATCGTCCACTTGATCTTCCTTGCTTCCTTGCAGGCTTGGATCGCAATGATCGCAGACAAGCTGGATGCCACATTGTCTAAGTCTTAAAACGCTAGACTGCTTATTTGATGTTGGTTCACCATCTCCTGTCTCCAACTGCAACTAGTGAGCACATCGTCGTCATCTTCTGATGTTGACGCTGAACCAGAGCCGCATCCATCCCTCATGGTCGGTGTCACCAGTGGATGTCTGGGTACTGGCGAATTTCTGAAACCAACCTGTTCTATTGGTTTCGGCCGTTCGTCGTCCTCTTCTGATGTTGACGCTGAACCAGAGCCTGCAAATCCATCCCTCATTGTCGGTGTCAACAGTGGATGTCTGGGTACTGGCGAATTGCTGAAAACAACCGGTTCTATTTTTTTTTATTGGATTTCGCCCGTTTACTCGTTTTGCCATCAGGTCCAGCAGAGTTTGATCACAACTCTAGTAACCGATTCTGAACAGCAGATGGTTATCTGAAGCCTGAATGTCTGACAAGTACATGGCTTCATTACATGTTCTCTTCTTTTCTTTTCTTTTTTGAGTATGTACAACAAAATATGAAAAAGGACAGTGTACTGTTAAAGTAAATATGAGTAAACCATGCATAGTGCTTGTGATAACAAGAGTCAATAGCAATGCCCAACTCGAGAAAACAAATTATGGAGCAAAATCCTTACCACAAAATAGTAGTCAAATCTGTTCAAACAAAATTCCCTAACAATTTCCTACTTTCTGAACCACATGCTCAACTCCGTCAGTGTAATGGAATAAGCAAATGAACCCTAGCAGACAGTAAAGTCAGTGTAATGGAATAAGCAAATGAACCCTAGCAGACAGTAAAGTGGACGATTAGCAATGTAGCAGAAACACGTAGTTTAACCAGAACAGAGCAGCAACTAAGCATTGGAGATGAGGTAAACTGGCATGCTATCTGGTAAAGGAGCAAGGTTCCCCATGGTCAGAAGCCCAGAACAGCCCTTCTTCAAATGGGTTTCCCAAAGCCATGACCAAACACCTCACAAAGACCTCTTCTCAAAGAGTACAACATCGCCAATCTCTCGGCATTCATTAAATCATTAGTAACAGGAATGTCTCAGTATCTCTCACTAAGTTATTCATTCCACCACCGACACATTTTCCTTGTTTGTGTGTTTTTTACTTCTCTTCTTCTTTTGCTGAACCCCCTCGGCATGATCTTTCTTTGGCTCTGGATCCTTAGTAGGCTCTGGTCTCTTTGGCTCTGGATCCTCAGTATCTCTCACGAAGTTACTTCTCTTCTTTTTTTGCTGAACTTCCTCGGCATGCTCTTTCTTTGGCTCTGGATCCTCAGCAGACTCTGGTCTCTTCTTTGGAACTTCGAGCTGTTTGGGCCAGGAATCATATACCATCTTCCGAACATAGAAGCTCACGACATCTCCATTGTCACGCTTCAGCAGTACATGCTTTTGAAGTCTCCCACCTGAGTCCTGCATGTTTAAAGAGAAGGATAAAGGGCAGAGGGTTAATAATCTATTGATGATATTAAACCAATAAGATGGTAGGCAAAAGCCAATTATCAGTAGTGTATTTCCTCATATGTTCTAATATTCAATTGCGTGATCCTGTGGTCCTTATATGTACCTTAGTCTTTTGGCCATCCAGCTCTTCAAATGCCTTCTCTACCTCATCTAGGTCATTGAATGAAATACACGTGGAATAAAATTCACCTCGTATTCTCGAATCAATCTGATGAAAAGGAAAGAAGTGTTATTAAATAATTGCATAAAAACACACATATTTGGTGAACAAATAAAACTTTTAAGGTAACCTTGTCATCAATATTGGGGTTCCCAGAGAAAATTTTGCACAGCTCTTGGCAAGGCAGGTACACTGGAATTCTATGAGCAAGCAACTTTGCCACATCAGATTCAGTTACCTAGGAAGTTATCACAAACAAGTAAGGTGGCATCATCTATACTAATGGTGAGATTTAAGAACATCTTTTTTTTGTGCTTACACTACTTGCAGCAATTTCAATGGGGTCATTAAACCCATTCTTAAGCTTTGCAAGAACTAGATTCATCGCAGCTTCTGCATCCTTTAAGCAATTATGTGGTTCTCCTTCTTCTCGAACAGAATACCCCAAAGTAGCCTAGGAGGACAAAGAATCAACAGATTAAGGCATCATTCATAGTTACATACAATCACATATCATTGAAAATTAACCCCGCTAAAACAGAAGTTGAAAATACCCTACATATAGTTATATCAAGTACAAGCGTAGAAAACTAAGGGGAGAAATAGGGAAGACAAAGTGAGTTCGCAGTCACTATCCTGAACTAAGCTTTAACTGGCAGCATCGGCCAAAACTTGTTCACCTCGGTAAACAAAAGCAGATAAGAAGACAGATGCTCTGCAGTGATTTTATGGCAATACCTTGCACAAACTGTTTAAGGAAGGTGATGCAGTAGTAGGTAAATTTGCATACTTAAATATGTATGCTGTATCAATAACTTGAGAGTAATCAATCTTTAAGGCTGCAAAAGAGAAGAGAATGAGACGAATTGAATTAAATGGTACTAAAAACAAAAAAAAGAAGCATGTTCAAGTAAACACAAAGTACACATCCGATTGATACATCAGATAGATCAGACACAAAATAAAAACCACACCTTACCGCATAAATCTCTATGTAAGCTATGGCCAATCAAAATATTTCCTTTGGATAACATTCTCTTCAGCGATTTCTAGAGAAGGAATATAACTTCCATGAGATATTATTCAGAGAAAATGCTTAGATGTTAAAGACAGTATACCTGAACATCAACTAATGATGATGTGACACCTTCTAAATCCTTCTTTGATACACCAGTGATGTGTGTCCTATAGTCAGCTATAGTCTTCAAGGGGTTTACAAGTATGTCCAGCTTAGCCTGGAGAAGAAAAGGGAGAATATGGTGAGACCTCGGAACAAAGATGGAAATCCCTGACATGATTCACTGATTCATAGTCAAGAAATGCTAAGGAAACATGTATTGTGTAAGTTTTGACATAAACTTTATTGAATTCATCTAACATTACAGCAACGTCCATTAATTCACACGATAGTTCCATGAATCTTAACATACTTGTTCTGAGTAAATAATCTAGTACCTTGAGCTTGTCATCTACAACGCATACTCTGACCACAGCCTCTGTGCCATCATTGCAAAGGACCATCTCACAGTCAATTGCCAACATAGCACTTGAGCTCATTAAACTAGAGACTTCTCCTATTCGCAATACTTTCCACCCCTGAAAATACCAGTAATAGCTGGTTATGGATCGGTCTCATTGTTTTTTTATCAATTATGAGACAAACAATGTGGATACAAAAGGTTCATCCATTATGGGGATGAGAGTATAAAACGGTCATTTGTTTTAGAATTTCAACTAGCAAAAAGCATGTCTTTGTGAAGAGTACAAGATAAGGTGCAACTCTAGACAGAGTATTAGCAATCATGAAGATTATTGGACTACACTGTTTAAGAATTCGTCACTAAATCATGAATAGGATATATCAAAGGAAGATCACCAAGGAAAATATACAATCCAAAAAGGGCTTAATCGTCATTCGTGGATTAACAGAAGCACAGTAAAGGTCATACCTCCTGGTATGACGGGAAGCAATAGTGTTTTCTGTACTCCGGGTGCTCTGCCGTCAGCTGAACAAGTTTCTGCATTTAGCATGCACATCAATACAATTGTTGACCGCTTGACACCCAGGCGTCAGTCCTATTCAATTTAACGCAGAAATTCAAATGGCATGATCTAGCATACACATCACCTGCTCGGGAGAAACTTCGTCGGGGAAATCAGTCATATATTGCTGAACAGCACTTCTTTCCTTATGACGCTTCACCAATTTACCGAAGTACTGGAACCAGAACGTGGCGAGGTTTAAACTCTCAACACACCAGGACCAAGCCGCTTATCGACTGAAGCAGCAGCTTCCAGTGTAACCAGGCATGCCGAACTGAAGTCTGAAGAAGAAAACAAAAGAGTAACCAACCTTCTGGAAATCCTTGGAGAAGGTCTGCAGGAAGGCGAGCAGCACATCCCTGGTGCGCTTCCTGGGGTCGCTCACCGACGCGCCAAACTTCCTGTCGTTCCGGGCCAGGAAATCCTTCCACCCGCCGTCACAGCCTCTCAGGCCGTTCTTCTGCGTGAACCGCACCACCTCGACGAGCACCTGGCGCAGACCAAAAGGGTGAGCAAAACGAGGACAGGAGGCCTGCCCGGTCCGGGGGCTGCTGGCGGCACGCGACGCCCCTACCTCTTTCTCGGCGGCGGCGAGCCGCTTGGCCATCGGACGACTGCGCGGAGACGAAAAGCAGCGGGTGCAGCGGGGGACGGAGGCAGTAGTATCCGCGAGTGGTTGCTGCGGACCTGCGGTCGGCGGCGGCGGTGGTCGCGTGGCGGGCGGCTCGGGAAGACGGCAGGAGAAAACCCTTTCCCCACCCAGGAGTTTAGCCGGGCCGAATGAATAACACGGTTGACGGTGGGCCCATCGCTGGTCCTTGACTCTTCGGCCCGAAGTCGAAGAGGGGCTTAAAGCATGGGCTTTCAATCTTTTTTACATATGGATCGATTCGGTCCGCAAATATTTTCGACCGATTTCTGCACTGGCCCAGCTAAACAAGAGGAGTTGCTAAAAAAAAAATTCTTTCAACAATAACAAAATTCGTCAACTCGTCATATACTACAACCAAGTGCCAGGCTCTCATCGCGTCCGGTCCTTCCGCGCATGCAGCATGCATGCGTGTTACGTTACGCACCTCAAGCTAGCTAGCTCAAAGTAGTGTACGCGAGACGACAGAAGAGAATGTTATCTCTGACATAAGCTAGGCTTATCTCCTGCGTCGTCACTACGGAGTATGAGCAAGCGTGCTCTGAAAATTTTTGCGGCAAAAAGATATTAAAAATGCTCGACCTAGCCTAGGCACGGCACTCAACAGTTTGGATGGAAAAGAAAGGCAAGGCCTAGGCTACTAGCTATACCTGCAGAAGCTAGTACTACACGCGGCGGTAGGAGTACGTACGTGACTTGTTCTGCTTGCTGCTCTGTTTACACGGCCGCGCCACGCCACGCGCGTGCGTTTTGATCTGTCGTGATAATAAGGCCATGTTTGTTTTCAAATAAGTCACCTACTTCTTATAAGTTAAAAAATGGAAAAAGTGACTTATTTTGTCAAACACCATCAACTTATATAATAATTGTCTAAACGTTGACTAATTAGACTCGCTTTAAATCTAAAGTTTTAAGTTTTTTATTCACCCCTTTCCATACTTAAAACTTATAAGTCACCCTTTTAGAATTTGGTGGAACATGTTTAGGGCCCACACAAAAAGTTACTAATGAGCTTTTATTAAATGTCATCTACAATCAAACACGCATGACTTATAAACACTTTTTTAAAAACGGTTTCGATCCAAATTTTACGACTTAATAAGTCATCTACTAGCTATACCTGACTTATGAAACCAAACAGGCCCTCATGGTAGCTGAAGGTGAAGAATGATCGGAGCCATAGCCCGTGCCACGTTTAGACCGCCTCCCTTCTGCTGACGAAAGGGACTGGCTCGCCGTGGCGATGGTGTACGTCCCTTGCCCCTCGTTTTTGTCGTGCAAAACAACGGCTCCCCATCCATCATCAAAACGAAAAACATATAGCGTGTTTTTGTTTGGCGATGGCTGCTGTATTGTACACAGTAGATTGCACCGGCGGACTTTAAACTTATCTCATGTCACTTAGGTTCTCGAACTCTCAAAATGCATTTTTAAATACTTATTAAACTTGTCTCGTGATGTCATCCATTTGGTCCCCAAACTCTCAAAATATATTTCCGGGTACACGAACTTGTCTTGGGTGGCATCCAGGTCTAGAACTTGTAAACTTTATTTTTGGACCCATGAACTTGTTATACTATATCAATTAGGTACAAACGAGCTCCTATCTCAAGCATTCCATCTAAATGCTCTCTCCCTCTTCTAGATCCATCTCCATGCTCTCCCCCTTCCTCTCCGCATTCCGATAATCTAGTGTGGCATCGTATCGTAGTAGTGGTGCCGGCAAGGTGAAACACAGTGCTCCTTAGGCAGAAAATGTAGGCGAATGATTGCTTTGCCTTTAAGTTCCTACCATTGTCAAGAATGAGGTGTGGATCCAACCACAATGGCACGTGGCATCGTGATGCAAAAAGTAGATCGGGTCTATTTGACCTAACTAACACGTACACTATGACAAGTTCAAATACCTGGATTACACACTGAGGCAAGCTCGGAAACCTAAAAATAGCATTTTGAAATTTGGGACCTAGATGACATACAAAGACGAGTTCATGGATCTAAAAAGAGTTTAGGGATCTAAATGATAACCCCAAGCCAAGTTCAAGGACCATCCATGTATTTTACTGTATCGTACATATAGATTGAGTAGAAATGTATTTTTAAAAGCAAAAATAACTTGTTTACTGAAATTGCATGAATGGATATTAAAAAATGATTAAGTCCACTTTTGGCCCCTCAACTATCATATTGGTCTAATTTTGACCCACAACTATAAAACCGTCTGATCCAAGCACTGGAACTTTCAAAACCGTCCAGTTTTAGCACCTCGGCGCGATTGAGGCGGTTTGCGCTAACGTGTGCCTGGTTTTGACCCGCCACGCTAGCATTGACAGCCACGTAGGACTGCCGCGTGGGTCAAAACAGGAGTCGGCCCGCTCAGCTCTCTCTCTCTCTCCTCTCAGTTCCTCTCCCCCGAACCCTAGACGCCGCCGCCGCCTCCGTCGCCACCGCCAGCGTCTCCATCGCCATAGCCGCTACCGCATCCTCTCCTCCGGTGCCTCCGTGTCCGTAGTCTCCCCTCCGCCGCCACCTTCGCAGTGATCAAAAGTGATAGTTGAGGGCCAAAAGTGAACTTAATCCTAAAAAAATAAAATATTTATTCAGTTGCCTGGATGACAGAATACAAAGTGCATAAGCTGGCATACGGAACCATGATTCTCATCTTACATTCACCGAAGCCAGCCCCAGTGAATACGCTTGATCGATTTTGGTTGCATGTCCCTAGCGTATATCGCCTTCAAAGTTCCAACTATACAAGGTCCTGTAGGAGAGTCAGGCAATCAATCGCGTTGTTTTTCCTCAAGCCTACATGCACCTATCATGGGATGCAAACAAACCAAACACCCAACGCTATCTGAATCCGTAGTCCCAGTACAGTGCACCACACTGTACAGTATTTTATGGTAGTCCGCATGTTTGGGGACGTTCGGTAACATTAGTTATAGTAGAAGACGTGGAATTCGGCCCCGTTTGCTTTACTGAAAATCATAGCTGTAAGTACTGTTCGTTGATTTGTTATGAGAGAAAAGCACTATTCGTTCGTTGAAGTAGTACGACTCATAAGACGAGCGAAAATGGGCTTCGTCTTGCTATACTACACTGTTCTCCTCAGTGACGCACTGTGCCAGGCTGCAGCTTCGATCCATCCCAACAAAACATAAACACCCAATCTGTCTTTCGTTCACACGGCAGGCTCATTCATGGCACACATCACAGATGCAGAGGAGATTCTTTACCGTTTTACCAAGGCAGCAGTGCCTACCCCAGCTGTGGGCTGTGGCTGTTCATCGAGGCAGTCGGATAGATCCGGTACAGTGTAACAGGTCCCGTCCAGGAGATCCACGAGGATGTTTTTGGCACTGGGGCCTTGTTTAGGGCCTGTTTAGATTCTAAAAATTTTTACGGCAGATTCATTCATCGATCGATCACAGACATGCACGAGGAGATTCTTTAAATGTAGAACCAAAAAAACTAATTGCACAGTTGGATGAGAGATCGCGAGACGAAACTTTTGAATCTAATTAGTCATATAATTAGACATTAATTAGATAAATATCTGAAACGATGCTACAGTAAGCCAAAATCCAAAAAATTTTAGATCTAAACGGGCCTTAGTTCCCGGTTAGAAATCGAGATTTAAGACCAATAACTTTCGCTTCAGATTTCGACAATTATTGTCCAATTATGGTCTAACTAGGCTTAAAAGATTCGTCTCGTAATTTACAATCAAACTATGTAATTAGTTATTTTTTTATCTATATTTAATACTCTATACATGTGTCAAAGATTTGATGTAACGGAGAGAGCGAAAAAAATTGAAATCTAAACGAGGCCTGGTGGGCGCAGCGCGACACACTCATCCCTCGGGAATCGCGCGCACAGCTTCCCGGGACCACCACCACCAACGTGCCCCGCCGACGCAGGACGCGGGAATCTCGCCGTGAGTTCTGCCCGCACGCATCCCACTGCACTGCCAGTAGACTGTGCACTGCGCGCGCCGCCGGCCGGCCAGCTAGTCTCGCCAAAATGGACGGCCACGGTCACTCTTCCGCTGCACGCCTGCCGGGCGCCGGCCTGCCCCTGATGTGCCATGCATGATGACTCATGCGTGTATTAATAGGCTCTGTCTCTGTACAGAGATTGACCAACTGTGGACTAGGTACTACTATAGCACAGTGTGGGCTGAATTTCACCTCTGGATGGAGTACCTCTGGCGTCCGGGAACGGATCTGATTTATTCGTTATTTCCATTGGAAGGAAATGCTGCCTCTGTCACAGCACGGTCAGTGCAGGTTCAATAGTCGAGACAAATGTTTAGCTGTAAGACAAGTCTTAGTAGCCAAACCATACAATAACTTATCTACAACTAATTTAATATATAATTTTTAGTACTTAAATGGTCCCACGGTTCAACTATTCCGTACTCTCTTTCTTACCCTTCCTCTCACGCTCGATAAAAATCAGAAAAAGGCAACAACTTTTTTTGCACGAGAATATGTGATCAGCTAGTCGACTTCTACAGCGCCAAGTAGTCCCGTGTCATGTTTTCTATCTCCTTCGGATTGGCAAAGCTTCTGACACGCTTGGCAAAGAGACATGCCTTACCATGTCACGAGGGCCTATTCGGCCGATATTAAAGTCGGCTAATAAGCTGACTAAAGCTAATTTGTTGTGAGAAAAAAACACTGTAGATTCTAGCAGATAAGCCGGCTGATAAGTTCAAACGAACAGGTCCCGGCCATTCAGAAGCTACGGCCAACAGGCGCTACTTGCCTGTTGCTACTCAGGAGTACTCCTCCTATAAAAACAGATAAAAACTTGTGAACAAGCTAGAGTACGTATAAGACCAACGTCTTGTTCGCTTGAGCTTGTTTGGCTTATAAGTCATACTTTTTTAACCAACAAACAATATTTTTCTCTTACACTAAATCAGGCAACAATATTTTTAGTCGTAACTT